ATGATATAAAATGTTGATGTAACTTAACCGTGACTGCACAAATAGAAGGAAATGAGAGTGTATGGAAAATATGAGGGCAGAAAAGCAAGGTCCTTTCCCTTAACCCTTTTTAATTTGAAATTAATAAAATTCGAACAACTAAAATTAGGTAATGCCCTCGTCGTCATTTTCTCTCATATTTCAATGTCGGATAGTTGCGAAATTTAAGCATGCAATTGCGATCAAATTGGCACAATAAAACCAGTTTATACCACTCATAAATCTTAAGATTTGTTATGTAGTAGTGAACTTCAGCTACATATTACTTTCAATATTTTAGATTCAACTTTGATATATGATAAGTTGTATACGTACTAAATTATGATTGCTAGCCTAGATTTATAACCCAAATTCATTTTTCACCCCTTGTTTTTTTTTTTTTTTTTTCCCTTTCAAAACAATCGATACTATCTACACTATAGGGGAGGGGGTGAGTTTAGCCTCACAATTGGTTAGTAATAATATGATTTAAATTTGCATTTAGCGAAAATCGAACCTAAGACCTCTCACTTAAAATGAAATGAATACCATTCCTTGTTAAGATATCATTTTGTATAAGAAAGACCAAAAGACAAATTGTTCAGCATTGAAAATAGACCTGGCATTCGCGTCGTGCTTTCCGTGTTCTTGTCGTTTTTGTGTCATATCCAATATCTTAATGGGTTGTGTCGTGTAACATCCGTTAAAATAAAGGGGAAACTTGAAATAGGTCCAATTTTATAGCCCAATATTAGGATTAGTCCAATTTTTAGTTATTTTTGACTTAGCTCCAATGATTAGGATTTCATGTCAGCAATTTTTCTGATTAGGTTGATTTTTTTGCATTGTTATTACTATTTTACCCTCTTATAGATTTGGCACGTTCTCCATATATTACCCACGTTTTAAAATTTTATCAGAATTCAAATTCATTGTTTAGTGGTCTTTCATCTTTCTCCCAGATTTCTTGATAACAATTTTTGAATTTGAATTTCTTATCAATCTATTTTTAAGGAAGGCTTAAACTTATCTAGTAGACAATGAATTTGGATGGATTGGAGTCCCATCATTTTATTGAATTGAAACACTTAAATGAAACAAAAACTCAAATTTCGCATAACTTCTTTATCCTAGTCTTCCTTTTCCCAGCTACCATCTCCCTCATTTATGAATCTACAAAGGACAAGTGCTCTCATATTCTTCATCGCCTCTGCCGAAAAGACACCTTCGACTAATTCTCCATCAGCTTTTTGTTGTGCAATATACATCACAGCAACTCCACAGTCATAACTGTTTAACAAAAAAAAAAAGGGTATGAACTTAAATATTACATTCTATCATCATGAAACCAACAAATAGGCACAATACCTGTTTCACAGGTATACCTATAGATTTGATTGTTCTACAATACCTGTTCTACAGGTATACCTATAGAACACAATACCTGTTTTATAGGTAAACCAAATCGATGGGTAGGATAAACATATCTCCAACTCATGGATCTTCATAATTTCCATCTTTGCATACAATTCCGACAAATTCCACTTAACAACCTCAAGTGAGATGTGCTCTATAGGTATACTTCAGGGGGAAAACAGGTATCAAAGAAAACTGATCCAATGCATACTTCGAAAAATTTTAAAGTACCTGTTCTCCAAGTATACCGGGAGGCCAGAACCAGATCTTCGCCTATTCTGTTTTCATCATATAGTGGGAGAAATTTTATAGCTTTCATAGCTTCATACGGATTTAGGAGATTTGTTTCAAGGTTTGCGCTGGATACGGACGCAAACCAATTTGAAAGATGGGAGGATAAGGTTTTTGAATAAACAGAGAGACAAATCTGCAAGAGACTTGATAAAGGGCTCTAATGGCACTTGTTGTAATTTTGTTGGTAAATTATGTGCATTTTAATTGCTGACATGGATGATTGTTGTACTTACTAGCCCCCACTTATGCTTAGGTAATATAAATGGATTCCATTCAAAACAGGCTTATAAAATTGGACCCATATCAAAAGACCCCTAAAATAAACGGGTAAAATGACCCGACCCAAAATCGACCCGATAATATTAACAGGTAATATGACCCGATCTGTTACCCGTTAAGGAAAACATATTTTAAACCAATAAATAATCAAATGAAAAACATAATACTAGATAAGTATATACATACTATATTGTCACATCCAAAACATAAAAACACATTTTTCTTTTAAGTATATTTTTGCTTACCTAAATTGATTGTTCTAGCATTTTTCTTTGCAAGACTCATATTTGTATTGTCTATACTTTCGCTTCCAATATCTCGTTATATTCCCATTATAATCTCTACAGACTCCTCATTACTAAGGTTTACTGAATCTGAATCTCTAGCATCCATTGCTTCTAAAACAAAATGGGTATAAATTATAATAGCTTAATTAATTAAATAAAGTCTTTAATGGTTTTTTAATTAATGTAGAAGTGTAAAAAATATAGAAAATATATATAAACGCTCGTAATGACAAACTTTACGACTTTCATGAAGAGCTTAACTTCGAAATTCGCCACTATAATCATATAAATCATAGATCAAAATTTAACCATTGATTGTTTACATTTACGCTTCATTGTTCTTATCAAATTTTGTTTTTTCAGATTTTCTTTTTTGAAAACATGATTTATTAGATGATGCAGAAAGATGAACGGTTTGGATCATTGATATTATATTCAGAGTTTTACAGTTAGTGAAAATATTGCTTGATGTTTATAAAGTTTCTACAAACTATATGATATCAACTCATATTTCAATTAACCGTAAATATCGAAACGTGATATCAAAGATCTAAACCGTTCATCTTCTTACATCCACCAAATGATCATGTTTTCAAAAAAGAAAATTTAAAAAATGAAATTCAGTAAGAAGAATAAAGCGTAAATGACAATCGACAGTTAAATATAAATTTAAGGTTTATGGATTATAATGTTGGATTTCGAAGCTGATCCCTACATGAAAGTTGTAAAGCTTGTCACTATGAGTGATTGGATGCGTGTGTGTGTATATATATATTTTGTTTTTATGTTTTTACACTTCTAAAATAATTATTATTAATTTTACCCTCAAATAAAAAACATTATTCATGAGGGTTTGGAGGATTTTGAAAATCTAAATGATAATGTAAGTGTAACCATTATCTACTCGTGGAGGAATAATGATGAATCACGAGTGTTTATATATTCTTTCACATTTTTCATACTTGTATATATGTCTTCTTAGTTCTTGCCTATACAAATACTATACTAGTTTATTTTAATTTTGGATAACAACATGTTAAGTAAAATTTATCATAGCATTGATAATAAGGAACCCTCATAATAAGAATAAATAATGACTAAAACTTTTTTTTAACTTATATAGAATAATAATACAAAACTATATATTTAATATAGAGCATATTGTATATATATTAATATGGTTATTATATTTTATAATAAATCTTTTTGTCTTTAAACTTTAAAATTATCAAAATAATTTTTTTCTTAACGGGTTACCTACGTTTAACCGCCGTGTATACCAGTTATTAATGGATCATCCGTTAATCATTCGATTAATAATCGTGTTGATCCGAAATCAACTATTTTTATATCTTTTTCGTGTCGTGTCAGACACTGCCGAGTCTAATTGAAAGTTAAAAAAATATAAATACAAAGCAAAACTGAACAATATTATTGCGGCCGAGAAAGTCCGGTCTTTTCCTCTCACCCTTTTCCCTCCCAAGAAAACCCTAAGTTGCAGTCGCCATATCCGCCGGGCCCTTGCCATGGCTTGGGCCAGTGGCAGCCCATCCTATCTCCCCCTAGTTTCCCCTTCCTTCCTTTCTTCACCCACCTTTCCTTTCCTCCCATCCGCTTCGCCATCCCCTTTTCCCATCTCAGTTTCAACAGGATTTCATTTCTCCCTCCCTGTTTTTTCCCTCCCAACATTTTGTGTACTGCAGTCCTAGGGCTTCGTGTCTCTTACCCAGATCCAGGTTATGCCCTTCTCAATGTCTCCTTCTTGATTTGGGTTTAGGGTTTGGATTGGGACCGTTGGTGGGTCGGAACCACTTCCGTCTATTTGATTCGGTGTTGTGATACTTCCATTGAGGTTTTCTGTGGTTGCCGCGCCTTCTGTGCCCAAATTTGTCACTCCGCCTTCTGCGTCTAAACCAGTTCCGTCTATCGGATTCGGTGTTGTGATACTTCCATCGAGGTTTTTTGTGGTTTCCACGCCTTCTGTGCCCAAATTTGTCACTCCGCCTTCTGCGCCCAAACCTGTCGCAGCGCCCCTGCACCGAGCATAAGTTAGTGTTGCACAGCCTTAGGCATGCTAATCTGGATGTTGCACCACTTGTAGCAGCCCCTCGCTTGCGAATTTCAGAATTGGAATCTCCGGCCTAAGTTTCAATGGTTGCGGCTCTGCCACATTGTTTTGAATTGTTGATGGTGCGTACCTATTTTGTGCCATTTCATGTGGCTTTCGTCAGAGATTCGTAACCCTCAATCGGAGTTAGCCGACATGTGGTTTCTGTTCTCGAAGTAGTATGGAGCAGTTTGCTTTAGTTTGTTTTAGCTTAGTTTAATTAGTTTTGCTTAGTTAGTTCTGTTGTTTCGCTTAGCGAGTGTTGTGGCCGTGTTGCAATGATGACTGGATATGGTTTTCGCATTGGGCCATGTGTTATGTGGTCTTGTCTACCTACAATGATCTTATGTGGTCTCGTTTGCGGAATGACTTTACGTGGTCTCGCTATTCAGCGGTGATCTTTTGCAGTGGTCGATACAAGTTTATTATACCTATTGTCTTATGACAGTTTGTATGTGTGGCTTGTGAAGTTTTCGTACATGTGGTAGCTATTTAGAGATTTACTATTGTTGTCTTGTTTGAGCAAATTCACCATCAGATCATTTTATTGGTCACTGAAGTTTTATAATTAATTGGCACTTATGTATTGTTTGAGATGATTAATGAAATACCTAGCTTGTCAAAAAAAAACGCAAGGCAAAAGCCCAAACAAAGCACAAAGCCGAAGGACAAAGATGCATCATTTCCTAATTAACGTAGGAAGCAGATCCAAGCTAATCAATCACCCGACGCTTGAGCCCCAGCTCGAGGAGTGTTAACCTCACAAAAAATTGCAATAAGCGCGACAATGAATGCGTAGTCAATCCCCGAATATACTGTCACTGTGAAATTGTCCTTGCCAAATGATAGGGGTGTAACTGTATGCTTCTTATGCATCTGCAATTTTCCCCATAACATATTTATCCCAGTCAGTACTTGTGGAGAAATTAAGTTTCTGAAGAAACAAACTAAGCTTCTGATTGCTTAATTATGTTAGTTATAAGATATTATGGCTGAATATAAAATTGATGAAATCTTACTTGGGCAAGCATGGTTGAGGAGTCCCCAGCATGCACGACACAAGATCGTTCAGACCAATTTCCTTTGACCTTGAAGTCAGGTACATTCTCTGTTATGTTTTGTGCTAAGAAAACATCCAACTTGGCCTTCAATTGGAACATTGAAGATCTCTTAGCACTGAAAATCAGATCCCTTGAGTCTTTGCTATCCCCCCTGAAAACTTGCCATCTTTCATGTGCAGTGTTGAACTATACAAAAAACATACAACTAAGTTAGTTTATTTATTTATTTTTATTTTAAATTTACTATTAATTATTAGGGAGAGAGTTCGAAATTATTACAATAATTAGGAGAATGAGAGTAGTTTCGAACTGAAGCACATTAATAGAAACTCAACAACCTATCTACTAAGATATTGGACTGCATGCATTATTGATTTGAGAATATAGAAACAAGTTAGTTAAGTGCAATAGAATTAGTATATAAACCAACAAAAGTGTTATCTCGTTAAACTGTCATATTTTCATAATTATTAATTAAGCTGATTCGTGTCAGAATATATGGTTTACATTCACTACCTAGCAACATTACGTTATATACTGAGACTTTAATTCACAAACAATAGTTAAAGTTCAAGAGCTACATAATATATCAATGGGTTTTATGTTAAGAAAGCCTTACCTTCCTTCTTAGAGTGATAATAGGATGTCCGGCAGCATCAAGCAAGACTCGGTGATCATGAAAGCTGAAATAAGCTTCTTTAACTTTAAAAATCATGTTACCATTGACATCAGTGACTACAAATTTGTCACCTGTTATTGTTAGAACTTTTCTGACTATTTCAATAACCACAGGGTTAGGACTGCAGAAGTGAGGGCTGATGATCGGGACGGTGGGGTTAGCATGCGCTGCCGATCCAGGATCCGGGTTAGCAGATTCTAACGATGGTGCGCTAGGTTCTGCTTGTTTCATGATCAGAGAAATGTTCGATGTCGATGAACACTTGGTTTTTGATTTATGGAAAGACAATCTTGGCACTGCGGACGGTTATGTGCTTTTACCAAAACGTGTTACGTATATTGACTAGTCAATCAGAATATGGCGAAACTCTACACAAAGACTTTGTTTTGTTGGTGATCAAGTTTAAAGCAGCATTATATAGATATAGGGTAGGAAATCCAAGGTTTTGGTTCTACCGTCGTATAGAAAGTCGTAATCCAGATGCTGCATACCACGACTTTGTCTCATGATAATATGCATACTGCGTGTTGAACAAAACCTAAATTATAGTGAAGTTTCCTCTACAGCTGTACGAAGACGTCTTAAAAATTGAGCGATGATGACTTTAACCTAAGCTCACAGGGCATCTATTTATGTTCAGGCATACTCTAAAAACCTACTTGATTAACATGGTTGATTAACATATTGAACATGTGTTAAGGTTCTTAAACTATGATGAAATGCGGCGGAGCCATGAACTTACAAAAACGGGTCAAAATAAAAAGCTTCCAAAGATATACCATACTTTCATCTTATAATTATCGACAATATTAATATTAGTAAAATCGTATATCTTTCTCAATATATACATCTTATTACTGAAAGAAAAAAAAAAATTCACTAAAGTAGTTGTAATGTGTAAATCAACGCTAAAGTCACAAGCAAGTGCACCAAAGGATATTGTCTATTCCTATTCACCTTAAACAAGCTCTATGAACTTAGAATGATTGTTTATGTAAACGTTCTTTTATCTAGTAACTTTTTGACCCGTATCTTACCTAAACCCTAGTATCATATCTAAACTTGTACACGCTTGTTGTCTATTAATATTTTAAGATATGATGAATAGTACATACCATGACTTTTCTCTTTTCTGTACTACATACCATGATTTGGTCTCATGTAAATTTTGAGGTATCTTCCAACTTCCAGTTTTCAACTTTGATCCCAAATGTTGCTTTAACATTTAATAGCCAATAATTAGTTGCAAAATTTAAATCGAAAAGTCACTAGAACAAAAGAGGTTTTCTTCAACACGTGATAGTTGTGAAATTTGAATAATTAATTGCAATGACACATTATAATCTATCGACACTATATAATTGATTGACTGATAGTAACATTCCGCAAAATCATAAATTGATCGACAGCCAGGGTTGATTGATCATTAGAGATGAGTTGCATAGAAATTATGCATGGAAAAAAAAAATCCTAAATCCTAAAATCGGACCAAACCAAACCGAATAAATCGACCATTTTCTTCCCTTTCTTGACCAAAGTTGTTCGACATAAAATGAAATTTAAAAAGTAAAAACCCAATGGACCATTATTCCAGCCCGTTAATATGCCCCAAATACTACATGTCGTTTTTGGTCGTCGTGTTCCCTGCAAGAAATTGCAGAAACTGAATAAATCCCAAGGAGTATTTCCCACCTGAAACAAACAGATGAACCAAAACAATCGGAGCTCCAAATCGAATAAAAAATGGTGAGAGCATCTGCACTAAAACCCGTAGCAAATTCTTCCTGAGAAAGCACAGGAAATGGCCGGTCTCGCCGTACAACACCAGATGGCAACAAATCTTCAACCAAAGCCAAGCCTTTCAAAGCCTCAAAAAATCATTGCCGGCGCCCTGCCACCTCCTTCCGACGCTCATTTACTCCTTTAAAACCTACAACGCCGACCCAACCCCGGAAGCCTACCACTTTTTCCTCAAAACTCTCACCAAAACCTCCCAGTTCGACCACATCGTTCCGGTTCTCCCCCAGCTCGAAAAAGTCGAAAAGTTCGGCACGCCGGAGCACATTTTTGCCCATCTAATTGGTTTTTATGACCGTTGGAGCAGAACCCAGGACGCCATTGATCTGTTTTACAGAATTCCCAAGTTCAGGTGTGTCCCTTCTGCTCACTCTCTCAATGCATTGCTGTATGTGCTTTGTGGGTCCTGTGAAGGTCTTAAATTGGTGCCCGAGATTTTTCTCAGGAGCCACGTAATGGGCATCCGGCTCGAAGAATCGCGTTTTCGGATTTTGGTCAATGCATTGTGTGGAATTTGGAAGGTTGGATATGCTATTGAGATTATGAATTGTATGATGAATAACGGGTATGGTTTGAATGTGAAGATTTGCGCTTTGATATTGTCATCATTGTGTGAACAAAAGGATTCAGAGTGTGTTGTTGTCATGGGGTTTTTGGGAGAAATGCAGATACTTGGGTTTTGTCCTGGGATGATAGACTATTCCAATGTGATTAGGTTTATGGTGAAACAGGGGAGGCGTTTGGATGCTTTGAATGTGTTGGTTAAGATGAAAGAGGAAGGAATTAAGCCTGACATTGTTTGTTATACCATGGTCTTGCATGGCGTTATCGCGGAAGGGGATTTCAAGAAGGTGGATCAGGTTTTTGATGAGTTGCTTGTTTTTGGTTTGGTTCCGGATGTTTATACCTACAATGTGTATATAAATGGTTTGTGTAAGCAGAATAGAGTTGAATCGGGATTGATGATGATTTCTTCTATGGAAGAGTTGGGGTGCAAGCCTAATTTGATCACTTATAACATCTTGCTGAAGGCACTGTGTAACAGTGGGGAGCTTAGGAGGGCTAGAAATCTTATGCGTGAGATGACGTTAAACGGTGTTGGGGTAAACTTGCAGACTTATAGGATTATGCTGGAAGGTCTGTTTGGCAAAGGAGACATTGAGGAAGCTTGTGTCTTTATGGAAGAAATGTTAGATAAGGTTCTTGTTTGTTTTTGTTCCTCATTCGATGTGGTGATTTATGGGTTGTGCCAAAGGGGTTTGGTTTGTATAGCAACGGAATTGCTGAAGAAAATGGTTGCCAAGAAAGTTGATCCCGGAGCAAAGGCTTGGGAAGCACTGCTCCTTAGCTCAGGATCTGAACCCAGCTTAGAAGAGACTACTTGGGCGGGTTTGGTGGAGCCAATAGCAGCACTTCCATAGGTGATGACGCACTGACTTGGATCACCAGTAAACAGTGCATCTGATGTTTATACTTACCATGTGTATTTAAATTGAAAGTCCCTCGGAGTAGCAAAAAAGTAAGAGTGAAAAAGATGCAAGGGAAAAAACAAAGTAGACAAATCCCATCGTCAAAAGGCATTGTCTATCATGGTTTGGGCAATCAGAACAATATGGAGGCAGGATTAAACATGATTTCGTGCCTCGAGAGCTGGGGGTGCAAGCCTAATTCGTTTACTTATAACATCTTGGTAAAGGCATTATGTAAAAACGGGGAGCTTAGTAGAGCAAGGGAGTTAGGGTTATGTTGGATGGCCTATTGGGCAAGGGAGACGTTGATGAAGCTTGTGTCTTTGTGGAAGCAATGTTAGATAAGGTTCTCATTCGTTTTTGTTCCTCATTCAGTGAGGTAATTTACAGGTTGTGGCAAAGGGGTTTGGTTTGTAAAGCAATGGAATTGCTGAAGAAAATGGTTGACAAGAACGTTGCTCCCAGAGAAAAGGCTCGGGAAGCACTGCTTCTTAGCTCAGGATCCAAACCTGATTTGAAAGAGACTACTTGGACTGGTTTGGTGGAGCCAATTATAGCACTAACAGAGGACCAGTAAGTTGTGCATCTCTCTGTTAAACATTTACCATTAGTTGTTTGTGCCATATAGAATTCACAGCGACAGTTGATTGACTTCACCAGCACAATGCAAGGCTGAAGCATAAGTTAGCTGCATCCATGTGCATCAGATTCCTTTACTTCTAATCTTTTGCTTAAGAGAGGCACCTGAGCCTGGCACATCGTGCTGTACTTGTGCCGGTCTTTTGTCCATTTCTTCGTCCGAGAATGTTTGGCATAAAACTGTATATGCATTTGTACCAACCTAGAATCTTCTGTCGTACTTGCTATGCTAGTGTACTCTTGTTCTTGGTTTTTTCTTTACCTTTGAGTTGATACCTTGCTTGTACATAATAGATTATGACAATTTCTGCGAAAAAGCAATGAAATTATTCTTTTAAACTCTTCAAAATTACCCATGCTTATAAGTTTGCGGTTTTTTTTTAAATTTATTTATTTATTTATTTATAATTCTTTTTCAGTGCTTGGATTGTTAGACAATATGCTATGATTTGCAACTTTCTAGAACTAAGTATTTAAGTTTCGATTTCGGTAGATATGTTGGTACTTCCAATCTCGATTTCGGTATATATGATACTGGTTGGTCCTTTGCTTGTTCTTAAAGTCGAAATGCAACCATTTTAATTTTCCTTGAGTACCTACAGACACTTGATACCAACACATACTTGACCGTTGTCAACGGACGTCGATCACTCAATCCAAGCAGTTGGACTGTGTAGTTCGTTTGAGCCAAAATTAAGCCACGATGTCACTCATGCGGAAGCAAAACCTCATCACCTACTTCCCTTCAATTCATAATGTGAGTTTTGAAGTCAAGGTATTGAAAACTTTTGAGAGAAAAAAGATAGAAGTGCCATCTTATCTTGCTTTGTGTGGGAAAAATAGCAGCCATTTACTTTAAAGGTAAAAAACCAACAAATAAAAGAGAGAAAAGGATCAGATTTTTCTGGCCTTGCACTTTTTTTTCCAGTGAAATCAAATCATTGAAGCATCCAAAGATCGCTGTTTGTCGCCTTTCCAAAACATGAAAAAAAAAAAAAAAAAAAAAAAACATGAAAAGTTTTGTCGGTGTGAAAGGGCTTCTTATTTGCAGGGAAGAGCAAAAAAATCTGCAGTCACACTCTCACGAACTGAATTAACTTGAAGTTAATCAGCTATAAAACCACTAAGCAGAAATTAATTACACAGTTGAAAAGTTGGATTAGAAACATATCAAGAAGCTATGGATGCATTTGTGTTGCGAATCGTTGTCAGTCGGACGTGGATGAGAAGGAATAGAGACAGTTGTTGTGGTGTTTCCTTGGTGGTGGTACCATGTTTCCAATTTAATTTAAAGGGGGTAGGATTCACCGATAGGACCTACTCCAATAGTTAGTTTAAGGCCAAAACAAATTTTGGAATTTGGCTTTTAGATTTTAGCTAGAAACCGTATTTTTTCTCTAATGGTACGACCTAAATTTTAGGTTAAAAATTGTTAATATCGTTTTACCTTAATTTTTTCTTTCCGTTAATTTAAAAAAAATATGGAAACTGTTATTAGCATTTCAAAAATCTCATTCTACACTCCTTATAAGTGTATTTTTCTTTCCAATTGCAAAAAGTTTAGAGTGCCAAATGAGATTTTTAAAGTACTAATAACAATTTTCAAAAATATTTGTTTACATTAATTGTGCTTTATTATGTGAACTTTTTTACTTAAAAATATTTAAATTGCGATAAAGTATGAAAAATCGCACAATATATACATATGAACCACACTTCAACTACTTTCTACAAACACAAATTACACTCAAACTTCATTCATACACCAACACAAACCACACATCCTATAGCACCCTCTTGCAAAACCATGAAGCAGAGTTGTATTAGTTTGGTAGAAGCATCTCGTTGTCTTGTCGTTAAGACGAAGAGGGACCTACCTGCGACAGTGATATAATAGCCCTTACGTGTCTTTCTCACTCATCGTTATCTTGTATTCATGTGAAAGTGAGCAAGACAACGTAGAAGGAATACCACAAAAAGTATATCTCCATTGTAAGCAAGTCCCTACTCATAATTTTAAAATTCTGTTGCAGGCAAGTCCCTCTTCGTCATTTAGACATAAAAAAGAGCATATCACCGTTGCAGGAAAGCCCCTCATAATATGCTGACTTACCTCGATCAGTATCCGCACAAGAATGACAACAGGAGCAATATGAAGGATGCCAGAAATTAAGAGAAGAAAAGAAAAGGTTAATTAGTGAGAAAGTGAAAAGGATTAATGGTAATTACACTTCATACTGTCCAAATATATCATTGTTATAAAAATGATGTTCATAGCAATTATGGTAAGACCTTGACGGGGTTGCTTGCTTTTCAAAAGCATTATTTACTTCCACAATTGGATAACTTTCCTCCTCATACGTGCTAGGGGGACAAATGAAAACCTAAAAAGCAATTGCTCTTTTGTCACTTTGGGTGAATTTTTATATATAAAAAAAAGTTAGTGTTTATCAGAATTAAGGGTACATAATATTAATTTAGCTGCTGTATTATTTAAAATTTTAGATTTTTTTAGTATTAGATATCTAACAAGCTGCTAATCCTTCAAAAAATAAAAAGAAAATAGGGAAATTATTGAGCTTCATGGTTGCTTATGCCCTTAATTATATGAAAATGGTTGCTGCACTAATCTTATGATCGTAACAAAAAGGTAACCCAGATAGCATTCTTCTTCATACAGTGATTATCAATTTATCATCTGCATATTTACCACATACCGAAATAAATCTAGATCAGAGAGAGAGAGAGAGAGAGAGAGAGAGAGAGAGAGAGAGCAATTGGAAACCAAAACAAAATACCAAAAATACTGAAGTTAAAGTTCAATATAATTTGCCACGAATTTTGTTGAAAAATTATTGGAGCACTATTTCAAACCTATGAACACTGAAGAAACACATTAAGATTTCTTGATCTCTTTATCCTTGCAGTTAATAGTATTCATTAGCATTGCAAGTTCTTTATCCAATTTGGAAATTCATAAATATCAAGCTAAGTGTATTTACATATATAATTAAGAAAATGCAGCGAAAACGATCACCTGAAGTGGAGCTAATTATTCGGCATTATTGAACACCTGAATTGAAATGTCTGCATGGTTATGATCCACGGTGACAATCTTCATGGAAGAAACAAGGTGGAGTGGTCATGATGGGGAAGAGGGGCACATGAACAACTAACTCATCACTGGATATGAAACACACATATAAACTTGTAATAAATTCCCAGCTGCTAAATAAAAAGCAGTACATATATATCTCAGTATACGCGATCGAATGAGTTAGAAATGCACGTGCCCTGCTTCTCCATCTTGCTCAACTCACCTTTCTCATATATATTTCAGAATTTCCTCATCACTCGACTGAGAGGACGACGAGCTAGCTAGCTAGCTACCTACAGCTACCCTTCTCACAAACAAGCTCATTAGGTTAGTGAGAGAGAGAGAGAGAGAGAGAGAGAGAGAGAGAGAGAGAAGTGATCTTAATCAAAACGGTGAATCAGCTGAGACACTCTTCTGCACTTCTCTGTCCTGCTAGCCCACTCATTTATAACAAAACAGGCAAATGAGGGGTGTTAAAGGTATATGACGAAACAAGGAAATAATTGGCTCCTTCCTTGATGTAACTAGTCATTTCCATTTACCTATCGATCACATTTTAAAATGTGTGTAAAAGAGGATCCTAGTGTCTGTTTTTTTTTTTACGCGAAGCATATTCAATAAAATAGCAAAAGCCTTAATTAATAAATTATTTCTGTATGTATTAAACTATAATTTGCATGTAAAAGAGACTCGAGAAGCAAATTTAAAAATTTAAATAAATGTTTTAAAAAGAAATAGTACTGCAAGGCTTAGTTGGGTGTAGGACCCCATGATGTGTTAGGCCATCTCCAACCGAAGGGTCCAGATGGTTGAAAATAGCTCGAAAACCGTCTCCAACCGAAGACTCATGGGCCCCACGGAATCTGAAAGGGCCAAAAGGCTGGCCCCTTCCAGCCAGCCAGCCCTAGGCTAGCGAAATTTTTTGCTTAAAACTGTCAGATATAACTGACAGGAATAAGAGAAATAGTGTCAGTTATAACCGACACGAATAGTTGGGAAAAATTTGAATACAACGGCTAGCTGACGTCAGCTAGCCGTTATTTTTTAATTTTTTTTACAGTTTTATTATTAATTTTTTATTTACAAAATTCTTTTCTTATAACTTCTATTTTTAAATTCTATTTTTTCCTATAACTTCTATTCTACAAAATTTGTTTCATATATAGTTTTTAAATTCCATTTTTTTTCCTATAACTTCTATTTTACAAAATTTGTTTCATATTTTTTTTTAAATTCTATTTTTTTTCCTATAACTTCCTAAGCCATTATACAACATTAAATTAAATTAAGTAACATGAAACAACATTAAACAATATGAAATAACATTAAATAACATTAACCAACATAAAAATTATACAACATAAATTTAAGTTGTTGTAATTTTTAAATTTAAATAATAAATTATGTTTGGCCCTATGGCCATTTGACCCTCGGTTGGAGACGGTTTTTTGTGACAGGGCTAAAATGAGCCATATGGTCCTTTGGCCCTCGGTTGGAGATGGAGGCAAATATGATCATGTACTGTTCATTAAAATATTAATATCTTGGAGAGTCAAAGGGCTAAAATGAGCCATTTGGCCAGTCCTTGATTGGAGTTGACCTTAGGGGTCCACACAAATTGTGATACCTTGCAACAACAGGACCACATCACCACAATATCACGATATCACTATTAGCCAATCTCAGATACTACAATATTATTAGTGTAGGCGCATTAATATTTTGTTTAAAAGTTTTATGATCATATATACCCACCTGAACTGTAGGAATATATGATCAGCCGTGCATTTGGCAGTACCCAGTACTGTAAGTTTTGCCTTTTGCCGGTGTGAACATTTTCTTAATGGGATGGTGACTGCTGTCCACATAAACCCTAAAGATTTTGGAGTGCATATGCACAAAGGTCAGTGGCTTTCCAACCAGCTAAAATCAATATCAGAGAAAAAGGCCGAGTAAGAAAGTGCGGTTCTGTATCTCAGTCACTGACATCATTGTTTTTAATTCATAACAAAGTAGGTGTTAATATTATTTTGAAGATCATGCTATCTAGATATTGGCTAGCTGCATTAGTATATAGTGTATCTGCCACACTTGTTAGTCCATACCAGCACCACTAAGAAAAATATTTGCATTTGATGCCATAATGTTGCGTAATTTTACTAATTCACAAGTTGTGAAGTAATTAGACGACATGATTGATATTATAGCTGAAAATCTAATTAATAGTAATAAATAAATACATATGTTGTAACATGTGTGAATTAATAACACTTGCAGCTTTTGTGTTGGACATAATTCCCTTCCATTTCAAACTTAAAACATGATTATAGAGGCTCTAGTGCATACATATCACATGCATCTTACCTTTCATCCAACTAACACTGGTCCACTACCGCTGTCCCAATACTATCTTAATTAACCCTTCCAACACAAGCTATCTGATTAGGTTTCTATCTCTTGATTAATTAGTTTAAGAGATATTATGAACAGAAAATTTTACAATCCTAAGACGATGACCTGCCCCACGTACCAAGGCCTTCTCGAGGTCTTGTAATTTCAAGGACCATAGTCCTCCTGGGAGCAGGCTTGTGCTTGCGACGAAACATGTAGTGTCATATCCGTCTTCAACATTAGTATATTTTTATCTGTCTCAACTTCTGAAACAATTTCGTTTCTGATAGAACAATTAACCAGGATGGAGAAGATGATGCTGATTGCTGATGCCGTTAACCTAATAATATGCAGAAACTGCGTTTGAAGTGTAATCCCGTGAACATAAACTTTTTTGTATGACTTGATGGTAATGGTGTCGAAAATAGTTAAGTTAGCAAGTTATTCTTTGACTCTTGATGTATATTTAGAGTGGTTTCACTAGTAAAAAAAACTCCTTGCGCGACGAAACACACATCGTCGTGCATAGTCACTTTGCGTGATGAAATTTTAAGCGACGAAACAAACATCATCGCTCAAAATCACTTTGCGCGGCAAAATTTTAAAATTCGTCACGCAAAGTCTTTACAAACATAAAAAATTATTTTTTAAAAACCTTTGTGTGACGAAATCTAAATATTTCGTTGCCTAAACCAATTTTTTTAATTAATTTTATATTATAAATTTTAAAATATAGTTATTTTCATAAGTTTTGATTATTTTTTAAAAACTTTGTGCGACGAATATCAATATTTCGTCACCTAAATCCTATTTATTTATTTGTTTTTTATTTAATTTATATTTTATATTGTTAAATTAAATTATTTTCTTTGCGTGACAAATCAATATTTGGTCGCCTAAACTCTATTTATTTTAATTTGTAAAATAAATTTTTTTTTTATTATTTATAAAAATTTTGCACGACGAACATATATTTCATCTCGCAAAATCCTTAAATTTTGATGGGTGCCAAAAATGGGACGTGGGAATTTTTTTTTTTTAATTTTGTTTTAGACTTTGTGCAACCAAAATTTTGTTGCGCAAAACCCTAAAATTTGGGCGGGCGCCGAAAATGTGACGCGGGAATTTTTTTTTAAGACTTTACGCAACCAATTTCATCGCTCAAACTCATATCCTTCATTGCACAAAGTGATACGGTTTTTAAAACCAAAATAACTCCTCCATAATTTTCTCAATGTCTTTCTCTATTCTCTTACCTCTCCTCTCTTTTCCTCTCCCCAAATCCGACCCTCTCTCACACTCACTCCTCTCACTTAATCTCTCTTCTCTATCTCTTACTCTCACTCACTCTCTCTTCTCTATCTCTCACTCTCACTCACTCTCTCATTTCTCTCTCACTATCTCCTCTAACTCTCGCACACTCACTCCTCTTACTCACTCTCAATCTTGCCAAAAGGTATTTTCTCCCCAAATTTTAATTTTTTTTCATTAATATGTGTTTTTGGAGTTAATTAATTGGGTTTGGTGTGGGGTGGAGTTTGGGGTAGGCTAATTGTATGGGAGATTATGCCAATTTTTTGGTATTATTTTATGTTGTTTTTTGGTTATTTGACTATGTTTGTTTTGTTTGTAGGGAATTGTCAAGACTTTGACGGTGAAAGTTGAGGTTTATGACTCTATCGGACCATATCCTCTGCCACTACCACCACATTAGACTTGTATTAGGATTTTATTATTGTACTTTGTTAATTTATGTGTACAATTTTAATATAATATATATTATGGATAATTTGATCACTATTTTTCATATGTAATTTTATTTTGAATATGTCAATTTAAATTAAAGTAATTAAACAAAATAAAGATACAATTAAATTAAATTAGAAAAGTAAAAATTTGAAAGATCTTGCGCTACCAAATATTTCGTCGCACAAACAATTACTATAGTTAAATTAAAATAAGAGAAATAATAAAACAAAAATAAAATACCTTGCGCAACAAAATATTTCGTCTCACAAACAATTAATTGTGTCCAAAATATTAAATTAATTTAATTAAACAAAAAATAAATAAAAAACCAAAAACTTTGCGCGACGAATATTTTGTTGCGCAAGGGCACTTTGCGCGACAAATATTTATCTTCGTAGCACAAACTCTATCGTAACGAGCTTTACGCGACCAATCATGCGAGACAAAAATTTCTTCTCGCAAGGTTTTGAGCGACGAAATCATACTTTGCGCAACAAATCTTATTTCGTCGGGCAAAGTGTTTTTTGTAGTAGTGTTTAAAGAGCTAGTGCTAATATTATTTGGGATGCACTTTTAGTCTTCTAGACAAATGTTGTAATTGGAACTAAGTAATAAGCCCTCTTCATATTTTTTTTTCTTTCCAATATAGTTATATATTTACACTAAAAAATTGAGAAAAAATTAGCATTGAACTTGCTCTTTATATTTTTTTTCTTTGGTTCATGAATAAAACTTTCCTGGCACGATTTAGGTTCCTAAAAGAATGGTAATAATTTACTTAGGTTCCTAAAAGTTTAGCCCTAAACCTTTTCTGGTGAAAACCCAAATTTTTTTTTTTTGGTTTGATCAATACCCTATTACAACTTTTTCTGAGTCATCTGAATCCATCTCCCTTTGATTTCCTTTTTCCTTTTTTGTTAAAGGTGATGAATAATGTTTAATGACCTGATGATTAATTGTACTAATAGTCGATTTACTAGACCCACTTCCTATCAAGTTGGCTCCCAAGTCTCTTTCCAAGTGCACTTCCCTATGTGCAGCTGTTACTAGATCTATATATGCTTCTCTTGTCCTTGAAATCAGATGCAGGGAAATAGACTTAGCACAGTTTTTCTTTTTTACGGATCAAGCTACAAAACTAGCTAGGTTAATGAGTTTCGAACCTTTCTTACTCATCCAAGTTTAGTTGTAACCGATTGTATATATATTTGTGTTTATTTTTTATTTGATGTAATTTGTCACGTTAAGAGAGAAAGACGTATTAACCATTGATCAATTTTTATTTATTTATATGTATTTGG